AGAGAATCAGTAGAAAGAGTTTTTAAAAGTTTAACTATAATATATACTATGCTATTTGCATAAAAATATATTTATGTATTCATTTGATTAATAAACTAATAATCTAGCCTGACTACAGGTATTAAAAAAAAAAATTTAACAAAAATAAATAGCTTTTTTTTAAAAAAAAAAAAAAGAAATCTTTGTATTACCGAGTATACTGTATATAAGTATTTTTATTAGAGTGAGAGCATTTAACTATAACCATGCAAACCATTTTCTCACATCTGCACCTTATATGGAAACGAACATCAAACAATATCATTGTCGCGTTTCCTTTACGCGCAATGTACAGTATCTGTGCATAGGATCTTCGGGAACCTCGATGTTTGCATTCACATGTTGATTTTCTTCTAAATAAAATGCTTATAAATTATGTAATCCACGATTTATAATAAATATAGCTGGTTAAAATAGAATCAATCTTCATTCGAGGCAGCTCTTCAAGGATGACTGACATCGTCGAAGTTACCGATATTTCCTCTCACAATAGTGGTTGGGAAGATTTTGTAGCCGGAAAGTTAGTATATCTTCGACAAAGTCATTTTAATGATAAAATTTTTTAAAAAAATTACTGAAATTACTTAGTTTTGCCGGAATGGTAGGTTTTCGAAATTTAATTAGTATAATTATAAAAATGACTTTTCAATTTTTGGATATGATTAGGCGCAAGTTTTTGTAGGGCAACCTTTGGATACCATTAAAGTAAATATTAAGGTTTACCTTTATTGGAGACTCACTATGGGCTTGAACATTGAAATACTTTGTATTTTTGTATGGTAAAGGTTCGGCTTCAACTGGAAAATACGAGATTTAAAGGTCCCGTAGATTGTTTAATGCAGACAGTCAAGCAAGAAGGATTTCTAGCGCTTTACAAAGGTCTACTTTAATTGTGCAATTATTTTACAAATATACAAAAGATCTATCCTATTTATCACAGATTTATGTATAGGGATGGCTAGTCCTTTAGTTGGTATAGGTGCTGTGAATGCCTTACTTTTTGCCGCTTACTCTCGTTTCAAATCGATTCAGGCCACGACATTTGATGAGCAACTACCTCTTCATAAGATCGCAATAGCTGGTGCAGGAGCAGGCATGACACAAATTTCTATCAAGGATTTTATTCTCCCTATCGGATAGTTAATTTTTAATCATTTGGTTAATATGACCATCAGGAGCAGTTAATAGCGTGCTCGCATCTCCCGTAGAATTGCTAAAAATAAAGATGCAAGCACAATATGGATCAACTAGTAGCGGCGGTCTTTACAAAGGACCGCTTGACTGTGCTCAGCATTTAATTCGCGAGTTTGGGATAAGAAATGGATTGTTCCGAGGATTCTGGGCTACTGTATTTCGAGAGATACCAGCATATGGGGGTTTTTACAGCGGGTTTGAGTTCATCAAAAGGAAACTTACACCGGAGGGCACCGATCCCAACAGTTTACCACCAAGCAAGCTAATGGTCGCTGGGTCTTTTGGAGGACTTTCCTACTGGCTATGCTGTTACCCTTTGGATGTAATCAAATCTAAAGTATGTCATTCATTCATATCAACCGGAGATTTGTCGTATCACAATTAGAAGCAAAAATAAATTATTCATTTTCTTCCGTCAAGGTTCAAAATCAGAAGACCCCTCCCAAAGGGATGTTCTACATTCTTACTACATTCCAAACAACATATAAGAAGGAAGGAGTGAAAGCATTTACACGAGGAATTACGCCTACAAGTTAGTAAATTATTGTGTTCTCTTAAATTTGATTACATTAGATTTAATTAACAAGCATTTTTATTTCTCGTGATATAAGTTTTAAGAAGGTATCTATTCATAATGATGCACAAAATTCTTTGATATATAATATATACTAAACGATCTGGTTTTTAGCTTACCGGCGGCGGGAGCTACTTTTACGGTATACGAATTAGTAATGAGGATGATTCAGAGGAACTGAAATTTTTGATTATACATTGATCACTAAAAAAGCATGATCAATAAGAATGCGATTATTTATTCATTTTAAAAAACATCATATGATATATACAATATTAAATTTATAACCAAAAACTACTTAATATTAATAGTCTATATTATATTATAATATTATTCTTTTGTATAGTATTAGACAACTGAACTATGCATCACGAACAGTCGGTAATAAGTTCCAAGTGTTTAGGCTTTATGTTTTATTAAGTTCTCCAAAACGTTCTGAACCTTACTCAAAACTGCCGATTCTGGTAACGAGTATTGTGTACCATCGTTTTCACCGCTCAATGGGGAAATTGCCAACTGTGACAATTGCGAAGTCAAGTCATCCAAAGTCTCGACATTGCTAATTGAAGAATCGGCGTTGGATATAGAAAAATCACGGATACTTGCGGAATCTTGAATATCATTATGACCTCGGTCTTCGAGGGTTAGGTAATGTCGTAAAATTTTGATTATCTAATTGATTATAAATCGTAATAATTCATAGAAGTTTTAGTAGGGTGCTAGTATTTATAAAAATTATATATTGCATAAATTACTTGTAAAACTTGTCCAACAATTTCTCGATTTTCAGGTGTATGCTCGTTATCTTCAACCATTTTTTCGAAATCTACACTTTCTGAATCAACTGACAATTTTGACGAATTCTTTATCAAAATGTTAAGCCTCGATCGTGCAACTGACAATGGCGCGCGATGAAATTCATCTTCAGTATATATCTTAGCCCCTAGATTCGGTAACGTTTCAAATGGATAAGTAAGATATTTTAGAAATTAAATGGAGTATCCAATAATTACCTGCTTCCAACAATGCTACGACGCACTCTATTTTATTAGAGATAACGGCTAAAATAATGTGGTGACAGTCAGAATGATCCTCGAAGTTTTAATGAATAAGAGAACGCAGGAGAGTACCTAGATGCAAAGGCCTGTTTCCCGCGACGTCCGCCTCAGCATTGACGTTTGCACCTCGTTCAATTAAAATTTGAACACATTTATAATGCCCTCCAGCACATGCAAAATGTAGAGGTGTCCTTCCTTTCTCGTCCGAATTATTGATATCAAGGTGTGGACTAGTAAAAAGTAAATTAATAACTTAAATGATAATTTATGTCAGTAAGATAAAAAAGATTGTGATCAAATGTCGACTGCTAAAACAGAAAATTAGATTTTTACCAGTCTCGTGATCTCCACGTCCACAAGCTTCTCTCAGCCTCTCCTCTTTCATTTTTAGTTCTAAAGCTGTTTTGATTTTTGTCCGAGTGATGTCATGATGTTTGTTTGATATACGCGGGTGGAGTGTACGGTGAACAAACGAAGACGAACTGGCAAAGGAAGGAAGGCTTGGAGGCAGGCTACGCTGTCTGCGCAGAGTGGGCGACGGTGTAGGTGCTGAACGACGAGGTTGGAAAAGAATATCGTCTTCCATTTGTGACGACAGATATCATGAACTCTATCTTTATATCAGATCATACAGTATATCAGGTGGCCTTTTAACCTTATCTTATTTTTAACTTAATAAAGCACAATTTTTTATCTATATAAAAATTAATAAATAACTTTTTCTAATAATTCAAAAAATTGACTTTTAATAATAATAAAAATTCGAATAATATTTTTTTTATCAATAATAATTCTTTTCTTTTAAAACTTTTATTTTTATAGTTTTTTTGAAAAATTTTACTTGATTTTAAATTTTTGAATAGTATAATTTTTATTAAAAATAATTAATTAATGTAAAATATATTAGTTTTTAAAATATAAATAAATATTTATTAATCATATTTTTTTTTTTTTGAGTATCCATAGTCAGACTAGATTGTCAATTTATTAATCAATTGAAAACATAAGTATATTTTCATTCGAGTAGTTTTTTTTTTTTATTAAACCCTAGGTCAGGCTAGGTACATGTGTTTTATTAAACATTTGTATACTATACATTTTAAATGATTCGCTAAAGTTAAGACTTTACCTAACTCACTTGTCACTGT